GACTGACATCCCTGCACCAGATCCCACCACCGGGTTATTCCCCACGACCGGCACCCCTTCACCGGACTTTGTTTCTGCCTCCTGGTGCCCATCACTCCACCACCTTCCCTAATAAATCCTGTTTCCTTGAACCCTTCTCCCTTTTCGTTTGGGTCCACCCGCACAGTCACTGAGCACGAACCGTCACAACTATGATTGCATTACAAATGTGAGAAATGTTATCTTTAGACGTGTGTCCTGAAAGATTGTTTAGTTTTTGTTAAAGTATTTATGTATTAAAATTTTTTTTTTTTAACTTAAATCAAGGTCTGATTATTCTCAGATTGGATCTGATTTACCATTAGCTAAATGTATGCACATTTTAGACTTTAAGATGGGTTTTTTTTTTTAAAACTCCTAGCCTAGGAGGTGTAATGGAAGAGTGAGTTTCCCTTGAGACAAGGAAGGTATTGCACCAGTGGTAATAAATTAGACTGTGAGAACACTGTTATTTAAGAACTTTAATGAACTAAAAAGAAATACACATTTAAAGTAAAACTGACAGAAGCCCATTGGGGGGAAAAAAACATAAGAGTAATATAATGCTATCTAAAGCTGCTACAAATTGATCAGCAGGTTTTATTACAGCCACTAAATTGTCTTATTAATTTTAATTTCCCTTATTACTGTGAAAACACTCTGCAACACTCTGATATGATCCTCTGACTGTAAATTACTGTACTTTATATTGAGGCATTGTTGCATATGTATTTTCTGAAGTGTTGGTATTTGTCTTTAGGCTGTTTCTGTGAGTTTGTACTCAGTGCTTCAAATCCTCATAAAGATGCAGTTTTAGTTGTTTTTTGCCCCCTAACCTAAACTCAGCATGATTAAGGCTTTTTCAATAAAAAATCTTTGCGATTATATTACAATGTGGATGTTATTACAAGCTGCTGATAATGACAACAGGTTTTAATAGCTTGAAAAGAATACATTACACATCTTGTTAGGAAAATTCTTCAGTGGAGTCCTAGCTGCTCCAAATCAATACAGAGTCGTCTCTTAAGTCAGAGCAAAGTTTTACTTGCAGCAAGGAGCAACATGTACAGCACAGAGTCTGAACAAGTGACAAACTAAAAGCATGAAGCGTTGGTTCTTATATACAGAAAACAGAAGACAACCTCCTGCAAATGTGTGCGTGTAGGCATGGTGTTTTCACTACCCGCTAAGGACGTCTTGTCCTTATCTCACACTAGCAAGGTGAAATAGAGGCAATGAACCTTTACAGCATTCTCATACTTTTCACAAAGATCATTGGATCATAACAGAATTATTCTAACACATCTTTACAATTCAAAATTCCTCATACTGAAGATTTAGTAATCAGTATCGGTGGTACGAATAGAACAAAAAAATCAATTTACATACAAACCTCTCTTTACTATCCCCTTAGCAACTCTCTCATCTGTTGAATTTGTACGTCCATGTATAGTTTCTGCCTGTATTTCATTAAAGGATGCCAGTATTTCCTACTCGTGTTGATACTTTGAGATATACTGCTGCCCAGTGTCAGAGATCTTTCATCAGTGACACTCTTCTTTTTATGCCATGACTGGAAATGGTGGTGAAAGCACCCCATATCCTACAGAAGTCACTTTGACACCCTAAGGGCCTCTAAGGGTCAAATTCATCTTTGAATAAAACGTTTAGAAAATGTATCTTCATGTTTCCAAGCCTACTGCCAACGTTTCTTTTTGTAAACTTTAGTCATGGGTGGGTGAAGTTGAGTTTTATGCACAGCTAAGTGTCTCTGGACAATCCTGCTTTGACAGAGGCTTTCCCTAAAAAGCCTTTATCTGACAAAATTCACCTATGCCCTCAATCTCTTACAAATTTTGTTGATCAATCTTCAGCTTTCTTGAAATACCGGTAGTTTCCGTGCCGCTTGCAAAACATTGAACTATTCCACACTTGTTATCTCCAGCTGATCATTATCACGTCTGTTATTGCATGAGAACTACGACTTGCTTGATCATGTGGAACGTCATCTTGGACTTTGTTTCTCTTTAATTAATATCATCTGGCAAAGTACTTAACAGCGCTGTCTGAGAGCCTCATAAGCTGTTCTGCGTAGCTGGAGAACTGCAGCAGACTCACTAAAAGAACTTCTGATTTGATAATCCTTTGTTAATTATTATGTCTAACAATTTTTTACAAGGGAAGGCGGATTTGGATGCACTGATATTTGTACATGTACTTGTCATTTTTACTGCAGTATTGGGAAGAATCTTGAATGAGGTTTACATATCTGATCTTGGTCTACACCCTTCTTTTGTTGTGTTTGTTTGTTTTATGATGTACACATATTATATATGTATGTATGCATATGTATGTGGGTGTGTATATGCAGATATGTGCTTTCTGGGGGGGTAGGTGAGGGTTCGAATGTTATTGTTATATTGTTATGTGCTGTATTTTTTGTCGTATTTGTCCTTATACATTCGCTACGTTAGTGTTTGGATGATTTATCTTGTAAAAGGAAAACAAATAAAAATTTGATCACAACAAAAAATACAAAAAAAAAACCCAGCGCTGTCTGAGATTGTTACCAGCTGTCTAAACCAATCAAAAAGTTAAGTGAGAAACTAAAAACTAATTACTTATGTGACTAAAATCCAACTGAAATGTCGCAATCATTTGGAAGACAGTGTGGTGTAGAAATGCATCTGAATGATGTTTATGAGACAACAGACACAATGACTGGACAACACATTCAGCAGGTTGTTGTTCAGATTTACTTGAAGCAAGTATGAGGAGCATAGATTTCAAGAGAAGAATGTTTCATCAGGATGTTGTCACTCAGTACTTGGGCCAGTGATGGTAATCCCTCCACTGCTAACCAAGGTCGTCTCCGGTCGGATGTTTTTCTGGACCGACCCAACAATCTCTCTCTCTGTGTACAATACATGGCAATGGTCAGTTACAATAGACCCAAAGTCAGTCAGATACAAGATGAAGGCAGATGGCTTTTACTGACTTCGAGCGCAATTTAATGGTGCCAGTACGAATGCTGTACTACTTACTCTTTCTGAAGCATCTAGGTTCACAGGTATTTCCAAGAGAAGGTTGGCACACAGCTGCATCACAGTGGATATACACCTGGTCAAAAAAAACAAAGACACCATTAACAAATACACTCACAAGAAAATAATGTAAACACGAAGCACATTTTTCCTGAATCCTTTACCGATTCTCTGAGAGGAATCAAACCCTCTGGCTCTGCATTTCCTGTCTTGCCGGGAGTCTTGACGGGCTCCTGTCCACCCCTAGCTACGAAAGTGAACATCTTGAAAATAAATCGCCTGTGGTGAGATGGGTACGCGAGTCCTGATGAGGAATCCACAGGGACCAGTGTTGTTTGGTAACGATCATCACGGTAAGGGCAGCTATGACAAGAGGAGAGAGTGTCCAGTATGATTAAAGAAAAGTTGTAAAAATGACTCTTTGACTCTCAGACCTAGACCTCCTAGTCTTACCCATCAATCAGCAAGTCCCACTGAGGAAGACTGTGAGGGTAGGGGTCACTGGTTGCCCAGCATCTTCCCAGAGTTAAGACAAGGTTGGGATCAGTCCTCTCCAGCATTCGGACCTCAACGTAAACAGGATCCCTGAGCACCTTCGAGACAGGGTAGTCGGCATCCTGGTAAAAGGAGCTGTAGGCTACCACCTCTGCCCCAACAAAGAGACTGGTCAGTGACAGAGTTACTGCCAAATCAAATGAATGAGTGTGTACAAGGGTAACTTCCACACTAACCTTCATTGCAACCCTTGGTAAGACAACGTCCATTGCCCAGCCTGAGCTCCACACGCAGAGGTCCAGGAGCTGCAACTGGGAGTGGTGAAGGAAGAGTACTAACTTCAACCACCAGAGCTGCAACTGTGGTGCCAATATATTTGCACTGCACAAGTAGCCTGAAACAAGAATGAAATTCTATGTCAGTATGTAAGAAAATCATCTGAGTGAGGTTTAACTTCTTAAGTCTGAACTGTAATCTGTCTTTCTGAATGCTTTAAATCCTCTGGTCTTCACCAACATGTGCTAATCTTTCAGCCTATGTTGTGACCATGCAGTGTTAAAGAAATAAAGACACGTACTCATAGCTGCTGTCCCTGGTAATGGCTCCGTAAGGTCCAACAGCCACTTCGTATGAGGAGGTCATCCTGTTTTCGTAGACTACAGCGCCGTTGTCGTCCTACGGTACGTTGGCAGTATTTAAATCTTTATTATTGCCTGATGAAAATGAACACAAGTCAATGCAATGAAGAGTTACAACACTTACCATCACAAGAGTGCCACAGGCAGTGACAGGGAACTGGTAGATGGCAAAAGCGGAGGTGACGCCAACAGGGCCACAGTTCGGACCACTTCCAAGGAAAGAAAGTGACTCCAAATCGAGGTGGGGCAGGGTAGCGTCTCTGGCCACCACTATGATGAACTGGGCGTCCTTGGTGCACTGAAGAGTCACTGAGACCAACAAATTAGAAATCAAAGACTATGCGACAATGCTATACTTTTCAGCATTAGAAGCAGAGTGGTATAGGTGTTATGTTGTGTGAAAAAGATCTGAGGGAGAGAGAAACACTTACCAGCTTTGCCGTAGTAACACATGCGTCCATCGAAGCAGCAGTTTATGGCCTCGCATTCTAAACCGGTGATCCTGGGAGCACCACACTGAATCTTGTACTGCTCAGCCACTTCACAAGTGTGAAATACGGGCGGAAAAGCAGGGTCCACGGGAGGTTGAGGCTTCTGAGCATGCTGGGAATGCTGAGAAGTCTGGGAATGCTGAGTAGTCTGGGACTTCGGAGGAGTCTTAGAATTCTGACTAGTCTGGGAATTCTGAGTAGTCTGGGAATACTGAGTAGTCTGGGAATACTGAGGAGGCAGTGGCTGGGGAGGAGGCTGGGGAGGAAGAGTAATCTTTTTGGGGGGATTGTCTGGCCTCTGAGGCAGCTGAACTGATTGTGAAGGCGGAGCTTTATATTGCGGAATCTGAGAAAACTGGGGATACTGAGCCTCAGCCAGACCGCCAAGCAGGGCTGCTGCTAGAAAGCAACAACAAATCAACTTCATTGCCATGGCTTCACAGCACAGAGTGACTCACAGCGAACACTAGGTGCTGTGAAAACTATGGTGCAATATGTCGACTTTTATAAGGTACGGAGAGCACTGATTTGTTGATATCTCACATCTTATTTGCTGTCCACGGCTGCCAACTGGATGCTCCGGTCACTGATTGGTCGGTGGTGATGCACTGAAGCGATAAGCGGCATTGCTAAAGAGTAAACTAACGATTTCAGCAATGTCACCGAGGTTTTGCATCAGCAGAAACTAACAGCTATGCTTGTAAACATACTATTATGTATACAAGAATATTTATTGATTGCTAACTACAACGGTTTTGCTACAGACAGCCATCCGATTGTCAGCAACCCCGAATGAATAACTTCTATCTCTTTGGAACAATTTCAAAATAATAACCTTCACATGGTCTCAATGACCTGCAATGTGCCGGTCACACTGTAAACAAACATCTCTTCTTATCTTTAAGCTTGACATTGCTAAAACAGGGCAACACAACAGGACAAATTGACACGGTTGGAATTAGCAGGTCATCAGCGGGTATATGGCAAGCATGTCCAGTATCCAGTTGTTTGGTTGGAGCAACATTTTCTGACAAGCTGTACATCCATCCAT